CTCTCTCTCTCTCTCTCTCTCTCTCTCTCTCTCTCTCTCTTTCCAGAGACTCCTCTTTCTGAAGGACGTGCTAAGCTGCGTAAGAAGGTAAATATGTTGTCATCATAAATTGAGATTATATTGAAATGTATTATTATTAGTACAACGCTAATCGTGCCAAGCTCTTGTCTGTGGACGGTAACTGTATTGATAGTGTGTTTATTGACAGGAGGGGATCACCTGATGCTAACGCTAAGGGAAACAAACTGGTAATAATATACTAATAATATACTAATAATGATAGTAGTGTTATACTAATAATATACTAATAATAATAGTAGTGTTATACTAATAATATACCAATAACAATAGTAATTTATACTTTTTATTATTATCATTATACATGTACTAATAATATACTAATAATATACTATTAATAATATACTAATAATATACTAATATTTTACTAATAATATACAAGCATTATACATTTATACGTGGATATTGCCACTCTTTCTATCACCAGGTTATCTGTTGTGAAGGTAATGCTGCTTATTACGAGGTGGGGCTCCCTGAAATACCACTGATGGGTTAGTTAGTAAATGCTAATTATATGCGTGCATGCATGGATGCGTGTGTTTATATTTGCAGCTGGGTTTTCTGTGCTGGGTTGGAATCATCCTGGTTTCGCCGAAAGCACGGTAAGAGATTCTTGAAATTTGTATAATTTTATACATGTATTTTTTTTTAATTTCGAAAAGATATGTTTTTTAGTGGATTTAGAAACTTATAGTCCTTGAAATTTTGAGCTGTTCATTACTTCACTCCCTTTCCTTCTTCTCCTTTCTCCTTTTCTCTCTTGTTCCCCCAGGGCCTTCCGTTCCCCGATCAAGAGTTTCACGCAATTGACGTCGTCATTCGCTACGCTGTCACTAGACTTGGTTTCGAATTTAGCAATATCATCATCCTTGCATGGTCTATAGGTTAGGCCACACCCATGACCCCACCCACTAATTAAATTCATTTCTAGGAGGTTACACAGCATCTTGTGCTGCAATGAGTTACCCCGATATAGGGGGTGTGGTTAGTTATTAAGATTTATAAGTGTCTTAAATTTTTTACAAGATTTTAGATGCAACTTTTGATGAGTTGTTTCCGCTAGCTAAACAACGCATTAGTCCAATTTTTGGTACGTCCCGTATACATGTACAATGTACATGTACCTAGGGCTCTGATAAAAATGGAGATTTCTCTTTTTAAAGTTGTTTGACAAAATACCTTGTACTAGTAGCCCCATGGTCTTTGGCCAGATTTGTAGCAACTTTAAAAATTCATAAAAAATCCAATTTTGATTTAAATCACTTCAAACTTTCTACAAAATTTAAGAACGTGTATATGTATCAGAAAAAAATTATAAGAATGTTGAATTCTCTCCTCGTGTTGCATTCCTTTTTTCAACTTTTTAGAGAGTTTTACCCGTGGTATGGTGGATGAATACTACAATCTAAACATAGCCCAACAGATCAAGCACTATAGTGGTCCGCTCCTTGTCGTTAGGAGGGAACTAGACGAAATGATGTCAATGTAAGATTGGATGGGTGGGGCCTGATTTAAATCATCATTTCCATAGAAACAGTGATGTAGCTACTAACAGGGCAAACTACTTGCTAGTCCAGATTCTACAGTCAAGGTAAAGTTGTATATAACTTTTAATAGCAGGTGCTAGTATAGAGGATATCGCCATTTTTTTCTCCTTAGGTATCCTAATTTAGTTTCTGCTGAGGCTTTAAGAGAGCTTTGGAATTGGTTGAAATGTGTCAGCGAAAGTTATAGAAGTACATGGAGAAGTGACAGCAATTTTTGACATCTCTTCCTCCCTCTCTCTTTCTCTCTCTCTGTCTCTCTCTCTCCCTCTCTCCCCTTCTCTCTCTCTCTTCTTTTACATCTACTATTTTCTTCTAATAGATCAGTTAATAGCCGATGCTGGTGTTAATTCCAGCCAGTGTAAAGCTAAAATTGTAAATTATATGTCTGTACATGGTAGTGACTACCCTTGGCTTATTGGAGATGGAATGACTGAAAGAGAAAAAATACAACTGATCCTTTTCCTGGTATTTATCTACAAAAAAGAGCAATATTTATTTATTTAGATACACAGCCAATTATATTCAGGTCTGATTCAAAATGTTGTCCAAAATTAAAGACTCAATCCTGATATCAGTACTGGTACAGTCCTGTTGGCTATCATTGCTCAATCATGAAAGTCAGTCTGACCTGATCCAGTGTTGATCCAGTGTACTGTGACTGACTCCATGATTGTATCAGGACTGATTGCCCAAAATCCATGATCCATGTCTGATATCAGGCCTGATTTTTAGTCTGAATCAGGCCTGGTTTCAGTCTGAATCAGGCCTGATCAACATGATTATATTTGGCTGTGTAGAGTATCATTATTTTTGTCATAATTATTGTTACTTTTTTTATAGGCCACACAGTATATGTTGAATCATCGCTCCACTCACTGTCAGCCTTTACCTGTCGATTATCTGTTTTATATTCCGGATAAGAAAGGAAATCTCCGAGAATAGTGGCCCCGTCTCGAACTTCTTACTGTCTAATTATTATTGTTTAGTTATTATTGTTCTTAATTTATTGTTATTATTTTATTATTGATGATAATTAAGATCTACGACTCCAATTTGTCTTCAGAAACCCACCATCCACTAAATAGTCTATTAGTGGATGGTGGGCTTTATTATTGAGTTCTATTTCAGGAAACAGTAGTAACCAATACTAACCACAAACTTCACAAAGTTGCTTTTTCAATAGTGGGCCTTAATAGATTTGTGGGCTTGACAATTTGACATACAGTACTGTAACTGTATTATTAAGGCCTGCTGTGCATCAAAATAATGGAGAAGTTGGATATTATCAAGGAAGACAGCAGCTCTGAGAAAGATTTATTCGATCCCAAACAGTCCCAGAACAATACCAGGAAAAAGAAGCACTGCCTCCTCGCCCTATTCACAGGAGCAGTTCTCAGTCTGTTACTCTACCTTGCACTAGTGCCAATAGGACTTAAGGTAAGAGATAAACAAGAGAAGATAACAGCTCTCCCTGCTGAGACCAGCTCAAATGCATCACTGTTGATACTCACAGAAATACAAGGGTTGTGGTTTTCAAGAGTCAACTTGGAACCAATTCCCGCCCAACAATTATCTTCAAATTTCTCTCTGGCTCTCTTTCTGACATACAACAAAGAATTGGTATCAGAAACTCCTGAGCATCTGAGAAACAGGGAAGATGTTTTGACTTGTGATCTGACATTTCTAGGCTGTAGTTTTGTTATAGACGAAATCCATGTCCATTATTATTTGCTGTTCGATGGGAACGACGAAGACTTGCCAGCTGGTGGGATAGTTTTAAATGTTGAGTTAAAAGGAAGGAAGACTTGGTATTATCTTTTTTGTATTCTATCTATTCCAATTTTTACAATTATTTGTATTATTTTGATTGTTTCATTCTGTTGTTTTAAAAATAAGAATTAAAAAATAGAGGAAAAAAGAATGAAAATTGAATTATTCATTTAGAGAAAAAATTAAAAAAAAAGAATATAAAAATTGACTTATTAATGACTGATGAGTGATGATTAAAAATATTTAAAAATATCCAAAATTTATCACATTCACTGCTTCTCCTTTAGCAGATGTCCAAGGGACAGCACCACCAGCTGCTCCAGTTTTCTAATGAACACAAAAATGGAGCATTCAAAAAGTATGTGTGCATGTAGTCTATGCTATCATAAAATGGCCATAACTCGTAAAATTAAAGTCGGAATCAGTTCAAACTTTCTACACAGCATAAGTACATCAATATGTATCAGAAAATGTAATAAAAATTGGAAGTGATTTTGGAGCCATTTTTTGGAAAAAACCATGGGCTATAGCTTTGGGTATTTTTCAGATTTTGGCTCATTTTAAAAATTGCCCATAACTCAAAAAATTTAAGTCAGAATCAGTTCAAACTTTCTATGTAGCATAAGTACATCAATATGTATCAGAAAATGTAATCAAAATTGGGGGTGATTTCAGAGCCATTTTTCGGAAAAACCATGGGCTATAGCCTTGGGTATTTTTCAAAACTTTGCAGCACTTTTACTGCAGAGCTAAGCAGTAAATTTGTACTGACTTTGCTTGATGAGCTTGAGGAACTCTCCGTGGATGAGGTGAGCTTCCCTCTTCTCTTTTCTCCTCCTCTGTCAGATTCCGTAGAGCTCTCAAGTATAATCCTTCCTTCCTTTTCTGGTGACTCAGCCAGCACTGAAGGATTGAGTATAACCCTGTCATTATCAGTAATGATTGGATTATATTTAGAGGGCAAAGTTTTAGGCAACGCCCCCTTGCTACTGTCACTGCTTTCGCTTAGCTTCTTTCGTCTTTCCTTTTCTAAAAAAATAGAAGCAACAGAATAATTAAAATGAAGCTGGCAACTTTTATTTATTGCAATTTGTGATACATTAATAATATTATGTACCTCTATTTGCCAGAATTTCTGCCTTTTTTAATGACAGCTCAGCCAGTGTTGTCTCATTATGTAACTGAGCAGTATGATGCAACTCCTTGAATAAAAATTTAAAAAAACCAAATTTCTTTTACTCTTTCTTTCCCTCCCTCTTTCTTTTTGGTTTTTAATAAATCTCTAGAGGACAGTTCAACAGCTAAGCTGAAAGCTTTCTGGAAACGAGAGCTCCTGAGAAGTTGAAAGAAGAATCTCCTGGCCAGTAGGTGAACTGGAGCCCGGTATTCATTTAGTATTGACTGAGAGAGGCCACTGGCAAAGAAACTACCAAGAGCTGATTCCATTAGCTCTGGAATAAAGAGAGAAAGAGAGAGAGAGAGTAGCAAAAGATTGAGAGAGAATGAGATGAGAAGAATTGTGATTTGTGAGAGATCATACCTTCATTTTCAGTTGAAGGATTAAGTGTCAGTAAGTGATCCATAAAGAGGCTGAGACAGTTGAAGCAATTCTGAGGACTCAATTCCCAATTTAAAGACAATATCAACTCAACACACTACAGAAAACAACAACAATAACAACAACAACAATAATAACAATAATAATAATAAACAAAACGTCCTCCTACCTGATGCAATTGCTTGTGTCTCAGATACTCCATCATTAATTCACAAACTGTCAGTCTTCCTTTGCTGTATATAAAACAAGACAGAGAGAGAGATAGAGGGAGAGGGGGGAGGGAGAGAGAGAGAAACAGTTTGACGGGAGAGAGAAGGAAGGCGGAAGTGTATTAATAATTGTTATAGTAAAGTATAATTTAAAATTTACAATTGTATTGATTGAAGACATATTGTTCACAATTCTTGATAATTAACAATTAAGCCATTCCCAGCAAATAAATCTTACTAAGAACATACCTGATCTTACAAGAAATCATAAGCCGAAGTAAGATAAGGTTATGACATTATAATGGCTTAATTGTTAATTATCAAGAATTGTGAACAATATGTCTTCAATCAACACAATTGTAAATTTTAAATTATATTTCACTATAACAATTAATACACTTCCACTTTCCTTCTCTCCCGTCAAACTGTCTCCTCTCTCTCTCGTTCCATGTTATTCACAGGCTGAACTAACACAAACTCAATAGCAGCTTATAAAGAGGAGAGACAGAGAGAACCAAGAGGGACAGCTTTAGAAGGAAGCATAATTATACCAGTTGTACTAGTAGTATCTACATTGACTGGAAATTGAACATGCATGACCAGTTGGAGCACATGTTAAATCACTAAACATGCACATACAATATACTGGTACATCATAATAAGAGCAAGTACGATAATGAAAGGTAAACTCATTAGAGAAACTTTGAGGGTTAAAACATCACACGTTACAATTAAAATATTCTAACCCTTTAAGTTTAATTAGGACCATATTGGTGTGTTCTCCTGCGGCCATTGATGACCACCGTAGACCATTAATTGTCCTTTAAATCGCACCACCAGACAACCAGTAGGTCCTGCTGTGGGTTGGTACACATGTGGCGGTCTATCTGATGATCGGGAAGACCTTTAACATCCAGTTCAAAAGCCCTAAAATAATATGAAGTTAATGACAAGTTGTACGAACAGAAGCATATCAAATATATTTTTTATTATCCATACACTATCATATATATTCATCTTAGATTAGATTAGAGATCACATAGCATTGAGGAAATGTCTTTTAGTTTGAAAAATATTCGCTCCACAAGGAATGAGAACGAAATTAAACTCCAAAAGAATATATCCACTATACTCTGTACGCATTCAGTGAATGATTCAATGAAACTGCAACTCTCTGCGAGTCAATTAGTTCCCAGATGGTTGAAGCTTTAATAAACTTGATAATCTTCATTGAAAACGGGTGTGGTCACAATGAAATAAAAATGGCGGCTATCCAAACGGGAAACGCTTCAGCTTGCAAGTCACTGAGGTCAGCAAGATAAGACTGTACTGCTATCCAAATGCAGCAAGGAAGGTTAAGAAAACAGATATGCCATGTTTTTTATTGATGTGACTAACTCTGATCAAGTAAATGTCAGTAACTCAGTCCAGGGGTGTAGCTGAGGTAGGGCCTGAGGGGGCCTGGGCCCTACCATCAAAGTGCCCTTATAATTATATTCATAACCCAAAAGGTTATATTCATTGTTCTTACAATAACAAAAGGGGATGGCTGATAACCACAGCTCTTTTAAAGCTATATACAATGATAATTTCACTCTGATTTTGCTCAGCTTGCAGGAAAATGCCTCCATTTTGTTACGTAAAAAGGTGTGACCAAAATCGCGGCGCGCTTCGCACGCCATTTTTTTCCTTGCCCTACCATCACCCAAGGTCCAGCTACGCCCCTGACTCAGTCTGTATATACCTCAGAGACTGCACTTGGAGCACTACAAATAGCAAGAAGCCAAAAAACTACATTGGTAGAGTTGCCTATCTAGCTATATCTTTTGTGTAATGACTGCTTGTAGCTATCTTTAAGCTTGATAAGTGCTATAAGCAAGGTACTAACTTTCACTGCTCCAGAGATTACAAAAGGTACATCATCAAGAACTGCATGATACATCAAGTTCTGAGCTGCTTAGTCCACAAGCACACTGAATCATGCATGAGTATTGTTAATCTGTCAAGATCTATTGTATATATGTACGGTACATTGAATTGCTTGCTAAGGCTCGCCCCTTCAATGTTTTACATTCGTCTAGTTATATTTATTTCATGAATTGTTTTGTTGTTGAATCAACTGCAGGCCAAGCAAATGTGGGCAGGTGTTCTATTATTATTATTATATTCATTGTTATTAATGTAAGTGAATGGATGGATAATGAGATAATGATTTTTTGATATGAGTGCATGTGTATAAGAGAGGTAATGATATAATTAGAAATAAAATGTTTATTAATAATCTCTACAAGGTATGACAGACTGTAATATTGAAATGAGATAATAATATATCAGCACAATGTAAACACACTTATGTGTGTGGGGGACAGTATTTAATTGTTACGACGAGTTTTCATCTCTGAGAACTTGAGGCTAATGTGTGCCCTTTTCCAACTCCACCACACAATTCCTTTATAATCATTAGTTGCAGTATTAAAATAATGACCATTAAGATTTGAAGAAGCACATTTTTTATACCACCAGGCACCCTTGCGATAGTAGGCACAGTTACGATTTGGCCTGAAATCATTATCATTATCTCTTGTAGTGAATTTCATTCCATTATGTTGGATGATCAGACTATCCCCAGCAGTACCAGAGTATCCTCCTACTGTTAGTATATATTCAGTACTACCATCACTAACACTGAATGTAGAGTAACTAGCAAAACTTGTGTTCCCCTCAAAGTCTTCCAGGTCCACTCTTAGTGTGTTTGATCCTTCTTTAGTAAGACGATGAATCTTGCTCAATCCTAACCAAAACTCACCAGTAAGGTTACCAAATCCATTCTCATAGTCAGTCCAGTTCCTATAGAAATCAACAGATCCATCTTGTCTCCTCTGAAATACAGTCCATCCACCACCATCAGTCTCCATATCACAGTATACCTGTGATCCAATAGTGTATAATTATAAAATACTTTTAACTAACTTCAAATGGAGTCCCTCCATCAGGATTAACAGTATAAACACCACTTGTAGTATTACCATCCTCAAACAAGCTCTTACAGTCACTGATATCTATAATACAAGAATTAAACACTTCTACTATTATTGCAGTACCTTTTGGACATGACTTTGGGTATACATTAGGACAAAGAATATATTGTCTTTTGCCAGTTTCTTGGATAGAAAAAGCCTCTCCTAAGTTACTGCTGTTGCAGCATGTCCTTGTATACAGTGATGGTTCATGTTCATATCCAGTACTAGCCATACAATAAGATCCTTCTCCTTCATCAATGGTAACTATTAAACACAGCAACAACAACATAAAGATGAACATCTTTGACATTTTATTAGACTGTACATGAACTTGACAAGGACTAGAATTTAAAGTAGAACACAGCTTCTGTTACTGTTTATGAGCCAAATTTATAATTTTTTAATGTTACACTGCCCACACTCTTAATTAGCTTTTGATTGTCTGAAATTGTACATTGCCCTGCCCATTAAAACTCTTAATTGATTCCTTATAAGATTTAGTGAGGGCAGTGTGACACTGTATCCAAGAAATAAAAAATTTGGCAATTTATTAAGAAATTCAATAAAAAATCCAAATGTAAATAGTAGTCATAAACAGACAGCTTTAAATTCTAGTCCTTGTTAAACTCGTGTACAGTCTAGTTAAATGTCAAAGATGTTTATCTTTATGTTGTTGTTGCTGTGTTTAATAGTTACCATTGATGAAGGAGAAGGATCTTTTTGTATGGCTGATTGTACTGGATATAAACATGAACCATCACTGTATATAAGGACATGCTGTAACAGCAGTAACTTAGGACAGACTATTCGTATGAGAGAAGGAAGAGTAAAGACTATCATGTTATGTCCTAATGTAAGGCCACAAGCCTGTCCACCACTAGGTAAATAAACTAATAGTTAAAACATTAATAATATAATAAAAAATAAAAATTAGAGGGAAAAAAAGAATAAAAAATTGAATTATTCATTTTGAGAAAAAAGAATATAAAAATTGAATTATTAATGACTGATGATTAAAAATATTTAAAAATATCCAAAATTTATCACATTCACTGCCTCTCCTTTAGTAGAAGTCCAAGGGACAGCACCACCAGCTGCTCCAGTTTTCTAATGAACACAAAAATGGAATATTTAATAAAGTATGTGTGCATGTAGTCAATGCAATCTGTTTTGTAAAATGGCCGTAACTTGAAAAGTTAATTTTTGAAAAATACCCAAGGCTATAGCCTATAGCCTTGGGAAATTTTCAGATTTTGGCCCGTTTTTTTAAATTGCCGTAACTCGAAAAATTGAAGTCGGAATCAGTTCAAACTTTCTACACAGCATAAGGACATCAATATGTATCAAAAAATGTAATAAAAATTGGGAGTGATTTTGGAGCCATTTTTTGGAAAAAACCATGGGCTATATATAGCCTTGGGTATTTTCAGATTTTGGTTCATTTTTTTAAATGGCCATAACTCAAAAAATTGAAGTCGGAATCAGCTCAAACTTTCTACATAGCATAAGTACATCAATATGTATCAGAAAATGTAATAAAAATTGGGAGTGATTTGGGAGCCATTTTTTGGAAAAAACCATGGGCTACAGCCTTGGGTATTTTGCAAAACTTTGCAGCACTTTTACTGCAGAGCTAAGTAGTAAATTTGCACTGACTTTGCTTGATGTGCTTGAGGAACTCTCCGTGGATGAGGTCAGCTTCCCTTTTCTCTTTTCTCCTCCTCTTTCAGATTCTGTAGAACTCTCAAGTATAATTCTTCCTTCCTTTTCTGGTGACTCAGCCAGCACTGAAGGATTGAGTATAACCCTGTCATTATCAGTAATGATTAGATTATATTTAGAGGGTAAGGTTTTAGGCAACGCCCCCTTGCTGCTGTCACTGCTTTCGCTTAGCTTCTTTCGTCTTTCCTTTTCTAAAAAATAGAAGCAACAAAACTATAAAATGAAGCTGCAGTTTAAAATATAATTTTCATTCATTGCAGGTTTGTAATAATTATATTATACCTCTATTTGTTAGTATTTCTGCCTTTTTCAGTGACAGCTCAGCCAGTGTTGTCTCATTATGTAATTGAGCAGTATGATGCAACTCCTTTAATAAAAAGAAAAGTAAACTAAATTTCTTTACTCTTTCTTTCCCTCTCTCTTTCTCTTTGGCTTTTTTTACCATAAATAAATCTCTAGAAGACAGTTCAACTGCTAAGCTGAAAGCTTTTTGGAAACGAGAGCTTCTAAGAAGTTGAAAGAAGAATCTCCTGGCCATTAGGTGAACTGGAGCCCGGTATTCATTTAGTATTGACTGAGAGAGGCCACTGGCAAAGAAACTACCAAGAGCTGATTCCATTAGCTCTGGAATAAAGAAAGAGAGAGAGAGAGAGGAGAGTGAAGGGGGGAGTAGAAATAAGATAAAGAAGAGAATGAGATGAGAAGAACCATGAGGGCTCACACCTTCATTTTCAGTTGAAGGATTGAGTGTCAGTAAGTGATCCATAAAGAGACTGAGACAGTTGAAGCAATTCTGAGGACTCAATTCCCAATTTAAAGACAATATCAACTCAACACACTACAGAAAACAACAAAAAAACAACAACAACAACAACAACAATAATAATAAACATAACATCCTCCTACCTGATGCAATTGCTTGTGTCTCAGATACTCCATCATTAATTCACAAACTGTCAGTTTTCCTTTGCTGTATACTCCCAGCTCTATCCTCATTAGTACTATAGGACCTTGGGAAAACACCATCGCAAAGTTGTCATAGCAACCGCTGTGCCCCTCCCCCTCTCTGGAGACTGACGCCCACCCTGCATGTTCTAATTGTACAGGAACCCTGAAATAAAAATACATTAATCATAAAATATATAAATTATAAATTAATAAATTAGTTACTAATAGTAGTTATTAATAGCAGTTATTACTATTCATTTATGTTTATTAATAGTTATTAATTTTTTGTACATATCGATCCTTATGCTATGTAAAAATTTTGAGTTACTTCCGACAAAAAACTTTCGAGTTACGGCCATTTTAAAAAATAGTAATAAAACTCACAAGCAGTGAGATCCAATCTGCAGTAGAGGTGTGGTACTAATATCAGTCACTACGTCACTAGTGAGTAGGAAGGAGAGAGGGTTTAGGGCACAATCAAGACACTGTATCTCGCCACGACTACCACAAACAAAAACAATAGCTCCAGCTGGGTGCCATGAGATATGAGATATGGATAACTAAAAGAAAGAGAGAGAGAGAGGAGAAAGATTTAAGAGAGCATTTAAATTAACATAAGAAGGAAGTTACTCGAATTTCTTACAAAATAAGATTTTGCTTTCTTCACTTGATCTCTCTTTATATCAAACATTATCTAAAAATATTTTTTAAAAATAATTTAAAACTATCAAACATAATGAGTTACAATCAATCCAGATTCACATCCAGCTGCTAGTAAGCTTTCGTCGTTATTAGGTGAGCAGACTTTAACTTGTGCTGTGAAAAGAGAGAGTTCAAAAAAAGAGAGGAGAGAATTTTAAAACCTTCGCTGCAAAACGTATTCTCAATAGAGTAAAGCGACGAAGATTGTCGGACATTTTTTCTATCGCTGCAATCAATGAGAGAGACTTCATATTCAAATGATTTGGCTCCATCACTAGCAGCTGCCACTGACTCATCATCAGGCAATGACTGACCAAAAGCGTACAGTGTCTGACCACTAGTCTTACTAGAGGAGAGGGAGAAAAAGGAAGAGAAAGAGGGAGAGAGAGAGGGGAAGAGAGTGAAAAAAGAGATAATTACTCAAAATTAAATCTAGTTTTGCTGTACCTAAAGAACACTGCGGTTGGTTGACATTTTGTTTGTAGTTTAGTAAGAATTTCAGCCTTTCCATTACTACAAAGAACAAATAGCTAATGACTTATAAATTAGACTAATTGTTATCAACATATGTTTTCAATCAATAAAATAGTAAATTTCAAATTATACTTTACTATAACACCTGCACCTTCCTTCTCTCCCCCGTCAAACTGTCTCTTCTCTCTCTTTCTATCTTAATTGTTTCATGTTATTCACAGGCTGAACTAACACAAACTCAATGGGAGCTTATAAAGAGGAGAAACAGTGAGAACCAAAAGGGACAGCTTTAGAAGGAAGCATAATTATAATAATTAATATTAATTTCCATTACTACAAGGAACACATGAATAATGACATTAATGGCTTAATTGTTAATTATCAAAAATTGTGAACAATATGTCTTCAATTAATACAATTGTAAATTTGAAATTATACTTTACTATAACAATTATTAATACACTTCCGCCTTCCTTCTCTCTCCCGTCAAACTGTCTCTCTCTCTCTCCCTCTCCCCCTCTCCCTCTATCTCTCTCTCTGTCTTGTTTCATGTTATTCACAGGCTGAACAAACACAAACTCAATGGCAGCTTATAAAGAGGAGAGACAGAGAGAACCAAGAGCCAGTTGTACTAGTAGTATCTACATTGACTGGAATTGAACATGCATGACCAGTTAAAGTAAAAATTAATGTTAAATCACAACCACATACATTACTGGTACATCATAATAAGAGCAAGTACGATAATGAAAGGTAAACTCATTAAAGAAACTTTGAGTTATGGTTAAAACATCACATGTTACAATTAAGATATTCTAACCCTTTCAGTTTAATCAGGACCATATTGGTGTGTTCTCCTGCCGCCATTGATGACCATCGTAGACCACTGTCCTGTAAATCGCACCACCAGACGACCAGTAGATCTTGCTGTGGGTTGGTACACATGTGACGGTCTATCTGATGATCGGGAAGACCTTTCACATCAAGTTCAAAAGCCCTAAAATAATATGAAGTTAATGACAAGTTGTACGAACAGAAGTATACCAAATATATTTTATTATCCATACACTATCATATATATTCATCTTAGATTAGACTAGAGATCACATAGCATTGAGGAAATGTTTTTTAGTTTGAAAAATATTCGCTCGACAAGGAATGCATGAGAACGAAATTAAACTCCAAAAGAATATACCCACTATACTCTAAACACACTCAATAAATAATTTAATGAAACTGTGACTCTGTGAGCCAATTAGTTCCCAGATGGTTGCAGCTGCATTTTTTAATGCAAGATTTGAATCAGTCTTTAAATTATATTTATTTCATGAGTCATTTTGTTGTTGAATCGACTGCAGGCCAAGCAAATGTGGGCAGGTGTCTATTATTATTCATTGTTATTAATGTAAGTGAATGCATGAATAATGAGATAATGATTTTTTGATATGAGTGTGCATAGAAGAGATAATGATATAATTAGAAATAAAATGTTTATTAATCACTACAAGGTATGACAGACTGAGATAATGACATAATAATATATCAGCACAATGTAAACACACTTATGTGTGTGGGGGACAGTATTTAATTGTTACGACGAGTTTTCATCTCTGTGAACTTGAGAGTAGTGTATCCTTTCCAATCACGCCAAGAAATTCCTTGAACAATATTAATAGCAGTATTAAAATAGTAACCATTAAGATTTGAACGAATGCAGTTTTTATACCACCAGGCACCAGTGCCAGACTGAGCACAGTTACCTCCTGACCATACATCATTATCATTATCTCTTGTACTGAATCTCCTTCCATTATGATAAGCCAGACTATCCCCAGCAGTACCAGAGTATCCTCCTACTGTTAGTATATATTCAGTACTACCATCACCAACACTGAATGTAGAGTAGGTAGCATAAGCTGTGTTCCCCTCAAAGTCTCCCAGGTCCACTCTTAGTGTGTTTGATCCTTCTTTAGTAAGACGATGAATCTTGCTCAATCCTAACCAAAACTCACCAGTAAGGTTACCAAATCCGCTCTCGTAGTCAGTCCAGTTCCTATAGAAATCAACAGATCCATCTTGTCTCCTCTGAAATACAGTCCATCCACCACCATCAGTCTCCATATCACAGTATACCTGTGATCCAGTAGTGTATAATTATAAATTACTTTTAACTAACTTCAAATGGAGTCCCTCCATCAGGATTAACAGTATAAACACCACTTATATCAAAACCAGCCTCAAACAAGCTCTTACAGCCTCTATTATCTACAATCAGGGGCGTAGCTGGACCTTGGGTGACGGTAGGGCAAGGAAACAAAATGGCACGCGAAGCGCGCCGCAATTTTGGCCACACCCTTTTTACGTAACAAAATGGAGGCATTTTCCTGCAAGCTGAGCAAAATCAGAGTGAAAATATCATTGTATATAGCTTTAAAAGAGCTGTGGTTATCAGCCATCCCCTTTTGAACAATGAATATAACCTTTTATGTTATGAATATAATTATAAGGCCACTTTGATGGTAGGGCCCAGGCCCCCTCAGGCCCTACCTCAGCTACGCCCCTGTCTACAATAAGTATATCATAAACTATTCCAGTTATATACAGTACCTGATGGACAATACTTTGGTCGTACTTTAGGACATAGAATATATCTTGTTATACCAATTCCTCTAATGGTAAAAGTCTGCCCTAAGTTACTAATGATACAGCATACTCTTAGATACAATGATGGTTCCTGTTTATATCCAGTACAATCAGCCATACAATAAGATCCTTCTCCTTCATCAATGGCAGCTATTAAACACAGGAAAAACAAACATCTTTGACATTTTACCAGACTGTGCATGACTTTGACAAGGACTAGAATTTAAAGTAGAACACAGCTTCTGTTACTGTTTATGAGCCAAATTTATATCTTTAAATGTTACACTGCCCACACTCTTAATTAGCTTTTGATTGTCTAAAATTGTACATTGCCCTGCCCATTAAAACTCTTAATTGATTCCTTATAAGATCAAGTGAGGGCAGTGTGACACTGTATCCAAGAAATAAAAAATGTAAAAATTTATTGGGAAATTCAATAAAAAATGCAAATGTAAACAGTAGCTGTAAACAGATAGCTTTAAATTCCAGTCCTTGTTAAATTCACATACAGTCTAGTAAAATGTCAAAGATGTTCATCTTTATGTTGTTGTTGCTGTGTTTAATAGTTACCATTGATGAAGGAGACAGATCTTATCCACAAGGAATGAGAATGAAATTAAACTCCAATAGAATACCCACTATGTATATACTCTGTACGCATTCAGTGAATGATTCAATGAAACTGCAACTCTCTGCGAGTCAATTAGTCCCCAAATGGTTAGAGCTGCATTTTTAAAATGAGCCAGTTTTTTTACTCATATTCATTTAATGAGTCATTTGTTTGTAATCAACAGTAGGCCAAGCAAGTATGGACTGGTAGTGCACTGTTTCTATTAGACTATTATTAATTTATTATTATTATTCATTGTTATAATGTATGTAATGAATACAAGGATAATGAGATAATGGTTTGTTGACATGGGCGTATACAGGAGAGGTAATGATATAATTACAAATGAAATGTTAATTTATTAATGAAATAATAATCACTACAAGGTATGACAGACTGTAATATTGAAATGACATAATAATATATCAGCACAATGTAAACACACTTATGTGTGTGGGGGACAGTATTTAATTGTTACGACGAGTTTTCATCTCTGTGAACGAGAGAGTAGTGTTTTGCCATCCATTCCATGTGATTCCTAAAATATTGTCAGTAGAAGTATTGAAATAACGACCATTAAGATTTGATAAAACACATGCATTATACCACCAACCACCAGCATGGAAACGGGTACAGTCATTTATCAACCATCTATCATTATCATTATCTCTTGTACTGAATCGCAATCCATTATGCCACCACAGACTATCCGTAGCAGTACCAGAGTATCCTCCTACTGTTAGTATATATTCAGTACTACCATCACTAACACTGAATGTAGAGTAGTTAGCATATCTTGTGTCATTATCAAAGTCTTCCAGGTCCACTCTTAGTGTGTTTGATCCTTCTTTAGTAAGACGATGAATCTTGCTCAATCCTAACCAAAACTCACCAGTTAGGTCACCAAATCCGTTCTCGTAGTCAGTCCAGTTCCTATAGAAATCAACAGATCCATCTTGTCTCCTCTGAAATACAGTCCATCCACCACCATCAGTCTCCATATCACAGTATACCTGTGATCCAATAGTGTATAATTATAAATTACTTTTAACTAACTTCAAATGGAGTCCCTCCATCAGGATTAACAGTATAAACACCACTAGTAGTATTACCATCCTCAAACAAGCTCTTACAGTCACTGATATCTATAATATAAGAATAAAACACTTCTACTATTATTGCAGTACCTTTTGGACAAGACTTTGGGTATACATTAGGACAGAAAATATATTGTGTTATGCCAGTTTCTTGGATAGAAAAAGCCTGTCCTAAGTTACTGCTGTTACAGCATGTCCTTATATACAGTGATGGTTCATGTTTATATCCAGTACTAGCCATACAATAAGATCCTTCTCCTTCATCAATGGTAACTATTAAACACAGCAACAACAACATAAAGATGAACATCTTTGACATTTTACTAGACTGTACGTGAGTTGAACAAGGACTGGAATTTAAAGCAAAACTGGGCTTCTGTTACTGTTTATAAGCCAACTTTATGTTTTGATTATGTCAAACTGCCCACACTCTTAATTAGCTTTTGGTTGTCTAGAAAATTAGACATTTGCCCTGCCCATTAATATTTTATTAAAACTATTAATTGATTATAAGATCAAGTGAGGGCAGTGTGAGATTGTATCCAAGAAATAAAAAATGTGGCAATTTATTAGGAAATTCAATAACAAATCCTAACGCAAACAGTAGCCGTAAAAAGGTAGTTTAATTTATATTCCAGCCCTTGTCAAACTCACGTACAGTCTAGTAAAATGTCAAAGATGTTCATCTTTATGTTGTTGTTGCTGTGTTTAATAGTTACCATTGATGAAGGAGAAGGATCTTATTGTATGGCTAGTACTGGATATAAACATGAACCATCACTGTATATAAGGACATGCTGTATCATTAGTAACTTAGGACAGGCTTTTTCTATCCAAGAAACTGGCATAACACAATATATTTTCTGTCCTAATGAATACCCAAAGTCTTGTCCAAAAGGTACTGCAATAATAGTAGAAGTGTTTAATTCTTGCATTATAGGTGATTGTAAGAGCTTGTTTGAGGATGGTATTACTACTAGTGGTGTTTATACTATTAATCCTGATGGAGGGACTCCATTTGAAGTTGGTTAAAAGTGATTTATAATTATACACTATTGGATCACAGGTATACTGTGATATGGAGACTGACGGTGGTGGATGGACTGTATTTCAGAGGAGACAAGATGGATCTGTTGATTTCTATAGGAACTGGACTGACTACGAGAACGGATTTGGTAACCTTACTGGTGAGTTTTGGTTAGGACTGAGCAAGATTCATCGTCTTACTAAAGAAGGATCAAACACACTAAGAGTGGACCTGGGAGACTTTGAGGGGAACACAAGTTATGCTAACTACTCTACATTTAATGTTGGTAACAGTAGTACTGCATATATACTAACAGTAGAAGACTATGCTGGTATTGCTGGGGATAGCATGAGGCGTCATAACAGAATGAAGTTCACTACAAGAGATAATGATAATGATCGCAGGCCAGATGATAACTGTGCTCAGGCCTATATTGGTGCCTGGTGGTATAATAATTGCTATCGTTCAAATCTTAATGGACTTTATTTCAATACTTCAACTAATAATACTGAAGGAATTGTTTGGGTCAATTGGACAAATGGACACAGTACTCTCAAGTTCACAGAGATGAAAACTCGTTCTAACAATTAAATACTGTCCCCCACACACATAAGTGTGTTTACATTGTGATGATATATTATTATGTCATTTCAATATTACAGTCTGTCATACCTTGTAGTAATTATTAATAATTATTTGAAGTATGTCTACAAGTATTGCCTGCAGCAAGGACATGCCCAAATAAACCAATCAATAATTAGCCATATAGCTTGAAATTTTCATGGAATGTAAATTTTGTGGTTTTCGTGGTTTTGGGGCTTCCCACAAAATTAAAACCCACAAAATCATTGAAGTGCCATCCCCTTAAAGGCCACGTAAACTGTCAACCACAAAAATTGAACCACAAAAATTGAACCACGAATTGCCCCACTATAGGAGCAAACCACGAAAATTTAGACCCACAAAAATTTCAAGCTATAGGGTACTATATAAATAATAATTCATAGACACAACAAGTCCACATCAACAATTTAGCATCAGCCTCACCCTCACCTGTGAAACTGTCAATAAAATGAGAGTGGCCAAAATGCATATAATCCTTATTATTTCAATGTTATAAGTATTTGGCACTAAATATATAAATCATACAGTAACTATTAAAGACTAGTAAACAATACTACATCATAAGTTGTTATAACTACAGAATCAGTTAAGAGGCCTAATGTGAACAATTACTGTGTAACTAAGAAATAAAAAATGTGGCAAGGAATTTAATAAAAATTTTGAATGTAAACAGTAACAGTGTACAGGTAGCTTTGAATTCCAGTCCCTGTTACAGTTGATTAAAATGTCAAAGATGTCCATCTTTATGTTGTTGTTGCTGTGTTTAATAGTTACCATTGATGAAGGAGAAGGATCTTATTGTATGGCTGATTGTACTGGATATAAACATGAACCATCACTGTATCTAAGAGTATGCTGTATCATTAGTAACTTAGGACAGACTATTTGTATGAGAGAAGGAATAATGAAGATTGTCATGATATGTCCTGATGCAAGGCCACAAGCCTGTCCACCAGTAAGTGATTGTAAGAGCTTGTTTGAGGATGGTAATACTACTAGTGGTGTTTATACTATTAATCCTGATGGAGGGACTCCATTTGAAGTTAGTTAAAAGTAATTTATAATTATACACTATTGGATCACAGGTATACTGTGATATGGAGACTGATGGTGGTGGATGGACTGTATTTCAGAGGAGACAAGATGGATCTGTTGATTTCTATAGAAACTGGACTGACTATGAGAATGGATTTGGTAACCTTACTGGTGAGTTTTGGTTAGGATTGAGCAAGATTCATCATCTTACTAAAGAAGGATCAAACACACTAAGAGTGGACCTGAGAGACTTTGAGGGGAACACAAGTTTTGCTAACTACTCTACATTTAATGTTAGTGATGGTAGTACTGAATATATACTAACAGTAGGAGGATACTCTGGTACTGCTGGGGATAGTCTGGAGTATCATAATGGAAGGAGATTCAGTACAAGAGATAATGATAATGATATATGGGCAAATCCCGGCAATTGTGCTCAGTACTACACTGGTGCCTGGTGGTATGGTCACTGCTATCATTCAAATCTTAATGGTCTTTATTTTCACACTGTAACTGAACATGGACGAGGAGTTACCTGGCGGGATTGGAAAGGATTCATCAGTCTCTCGTTCACAGAGATGAAAACTCGTCGTAACAATTAAATACTGTCCCCCACACACATAAGTGTGTTTACATTGTGATGATATATTATTATGTCATTTTACCTTGTAGTGATTATTAACAATTATTGAAATATGTTGGCAGTTATATATATAGTTATATATATTATATATATCATAATTATGACATCATCCTCTGATGTGGTCGGGTTTATATTTTTGTATATAAACCTGCCATTCAGAAATGCTGTCATCATTATGAAATATATCTTATATAACATACTAGAACTGGTCAATATACAAAAGATATAGACCTTTGGTGGGTGTCCTCAGATGTGATATAGCCCTCGGGCCTGCGGCCCTTGGGCTATATCACATCCTTGGACACCCACCTCAGGTCTATATTTTTGTATATAGACCTGTTTAGTATGATATATATTATACAAATATGTTGGCAGTTATATATATTTTTATATATCGCGTCCTGTTGCATGCCCACATTTATTGATGAATAATTTTAAAATGATTTAGTCTAAATGTAATAACATTTAAGGAATATGGTAGTACTGCTTTGCATTTTGATCCTTCCTTAAAATTTGTCCCTCAGCATGCTTTGTGGGAAAGAAATCCTGCTTATATATGTACATATATGTAAATGTAATAAAATTAGAGGAATACGGTAGTATTGTGTTGCATTTTGATCTTTCCTTCAAATTTTTCCTAATACATGCATGTCCTTATGTTGAGCTGATTCCAATCAAAGTTAGATTTTAAAAGTAATTTCTAAAGTTGCTCCAAATGACATACTGTATAGCCGGAAAATTTGGCGGTCTAAAAATTTGGCGGTTTTGCATCAAATTGCCTAAATATAATATTGGCGGTCTCTTAATTTGGCGGTTTACTATCTTGCCTTTTCTTTAAGCACTCTCAGCTTCTCTTGAAGCTGCTCCTTGCCAGTCCTTGCCCACAGTCTTGACTGAAATAGTGAGAAATACTCAGAAATACTGTCATTTTTTAGTATCATGTGCTCATGACGGGATCCGCCCATCATTGCAATTATTATTGGCGGATATAATATTGGCGGTTTTATTTTGAACCGCCAATCCGCCAAATTTAATTCTCTGCCAAATTTTCCGGCTATACAGTATACTATATTGTCAACTCATGAAATATGTTGTTTAGTGTTTACCTCGCTTAGCATGCTTTGTGAGAAATACTACATGTACATGTACATTTACATTACATGTACATGTGTGGTTGATTACTTCAGATCTATTGTTCCAAGTTTCTCTATTCTTTTCTTGAGTTTGTCGTGCGAGAGAGTAATGGCCGTCGGTGAATCAGTAGTACTCAACCTCCTACAAGGACTGAAGTAATGAACCTTGCTTCCATCATTGTAGAGTATTACTAGTGACCCTGACAATATGAGAGCTAGGGAGAGAAGGGAAAGAGGGAGAGAAAAAAGAGGGGAGAAAATAATATAAAAATGTATGAAGTACTATTGTACCTCTGTTAATTTTTCCATTTAGTTTCTGGATGATTGATCGATCTATGATTATGCTCTCTATGTCCCCACAATGTTTAGCAACAGTAAAGACGATTATAGTGCCGCTATCAAGAAGTATCTATAGGAAAAAATCACAAGATTATTAATACTCTCATTATCTAGGTATGCACATAGTGGTTATGTATTATAGTGCAGTAGGGTATTTCGTCAAAAATCGCTAGGAGAAAATTCTTCATTTTTATGATTTCTTTTGCTGCGTAAACATGTACTTATGTTGCATTAAAAGTTTGAAATCATTCCGACCAAAATTGAATTTCTTACGAATTTTTAAAAGCTGCTTCAAAATTGGGCCAAATTCCCTGTACTATAGTACAGGGATTTTGGCAAAATTTCAGCAAAAATGAAAAGTAGAGAATTCTCCAATTTTATAATTTTTTCTGATACACATACATGTTTTTATGTTGTGCAGAAAGTTTGAGATGATTCCGATCAAAGTTGGATTTTTTTACAAATTTTAAAAGTTGCTCCAAAGTTCAACAAAATTACCAAGTGCAAGGATTTTCCATTATATTACAAGTTTGACGATTAATAATGACACGAATACTGTAATGACTTCCTCTGGCTACTTACCACAAGATGTCGAAGTGTTTTCCATTGGACTGTCACAATTTTTTCAGATACAAGCATCTCCTATACAAAAATAATTCAGTACATTGTACAATACATTATCACACCATGTAATACAAACCTCAACTTCTCTTAGTGTGTCACGAAGCTTCATCGGCTTGTGGTTGGTAAGATACCATGAAATACCTCGTCCTATTAATAAATATAATCTTGACAAACCACAGTAGTCACATACAAATACATGTACTATTATTATTGTCAAGAGTGTCCAACGGCCATCTCGCCTGCTACAAGTGTGTGGATTTCTAGGAACTTAGGAAGGAAGTCACATTCAGGATACTTCTGTATATTATCAATGATAATGTTGTTATAACAACACATCTGTATAAACATTGATTGAAAACTACTGAAGTATGCGGAACCGTGACTTACTTAGTACTGACTTCCTAGAAATCCACACACTTGCAGCAGGCCTCAATAGGGACATTGGATACTCTCTTTAGGTATTATTTACTCTTGTTATTGTTAATGTTGTTATTATTTATTATTATTCACTAAGTACCTTCTGACCAATATCGTCTACATGACTCCACATCAACTTTAGCACCTGAGAAAAATAATGTTTTTTATTTATTTATAAATTTTATTTAATGTCCTACTTGCTCCTGTACTCTTTGGCTGATAAGAATGAACGGAAATATTGTGACCTACTGCTTATATTAGAGACAGAAAGGAGTATCATAATAAAAGAGTGCAATTGTATATAGTTTTACCAGAAGAGAGAGAAGGAGAGAGTGGCTGTAGTGTCCAGAAGTGAAGATGAGACAGAATACTAGCCATTTTTACATTGATTTAATCAAGAGTAGATAAGGACCTTATCTATCCACTCTTGATTCATCAATCACTCCCACGTTTCTGCAAAAATGAGCCACACCCTCAGAATTTCTGTTAACAACTCCGTTCATGTCAGGATTTTATTAAACAAAAAACGATAATAGCGATTACGATAAGGTAACACAAACAAGAAAGTGTGATCAGTCTTCTTTTGTTGCTCGAATTACTTCCTTCTCTTGCACATGTTTCTTCAATAGCGGCGCGCCTTCCTCTGCCTCTTTCCCAGGCTCCGTCTGTATGCTCACCTCGTCGTCAATGGTTTCATTGCCCCTGGGGGAAAACAAAAAATAATCAATAGTAATTGAAAGTCAAAATGATCTTTTAACAAAAAATAACGATAGAGACTGAAAGATAGTAATTATTGTTAAACAGGGACTCCAACAATATCAAAATACTTGAGAGGAAACAGAAAGGGGGGAGGTTATACTATTATTTATTATGTGGCTACTATAACTGCACAAGCAAATGAAAACTCTCTTTTCTCTAGTAGTCTTTAGTATTAGAACCAATAAAATTGGGTAGCCTTTTTTTGTGCTCATATTCTGCTGAGTCATCTCCCAACAAAGGCTTTTTCTCGTCATCCTGTATATTTCCCCCAATTCTTCCTTTCATTGGGTACCTGTGGCGAACTTTATCCAAAGCGTAACGGAACAGTGGCATCAGAATGATATCGTAATAGATACAGGTGCCAATAAAGAGGACAAAGTAGCCGACAGGCTGGAGTGCCTGGAAAGCCTGCCATTTAATACCAAGAGAGAAAGCCCAGATAAAGATAGTACGGACACTATCTAAAACCATTCTTGTCGTAGCGTTCATGGTACTTGTGACCGTCAATCCGGCAAAGTTAAAGAAGCTGATACTAATGACGGTACCAATGGAAGCAAACAGGAGCTGCCAGTTGTTTCCAAGCATGTAAAAGGCATCGACGGCATCTTCAAAACGTGTTGTCTGCTGCCAAATGTCCCTGGTCTGCGGAAGATGCCATGGTATGAAGTACATTGGGATCATCGCTATGCACAAGACGGAGAAACCGAAAATCCCTTCCCAGCCGACAGCTTGAAGTGGAGGGACTTTGTACTTCTTGATGAGTTTCTCTTCGATGGTCATCTGGACAGCTGTTATGACTTGAGCGAGGACGATGAGTAGATCACCAGCCAACGAATAATGAGAAGCACTTTGAGACTCGTGGCTAAAAATAGTATCGCCCACGCCGACTAAAATCAGCCCCAGGAGGACAAAAAGCATCCCGAACCAGTGATGTATTTTTAACCTCGTCCCCAGAAAAGCAACAGAGAGGAGGCCAGTGAAAATAATGACGCTTCCTCGAAGCATCTGGAAACTTGACGCAAAAGTCCAAGTGAGTCCCACGTACATGGTGGATGTACCAAGGAGATCGCACATGGCCGGGATCGCCCAGACTATGGGTATGAATTTCTGGGGCCCGAAAATGGACATGTCTTTCTTCCGGCAGTTCCTGTAGAAGAACCAAATCTTAAAGACAAAGATGCACATCATTTCACCAAGAAACATCTCAGCAGCCTGGGGGGAGGGAGAGAGAGAGAGAGAGAGAGAGAGA